CGGAAGCCCGCAGATCAATGACACCAAGTGTGGGCGGGGCCAGAAAGTTTGCCCGGCGGGGGGGCGGGGCCATAGCGTTCCCGACGGAGTCGACGTTGGCTCTCTTTCCTGTTAAGCCACGGGCAGGTCGGGGAAACTCTGCGTCCTGGCGGGGAGAACATCACTGGGAAGGTCGGGCCAGGCGCAGGAAGCCTCGCCAGTGGGTACCGGGCCTGTTTTCGGAATCTTTGCAGGGAGGCAGCTGCATTTTTTTCGCGATGGTGGGAACGCGGCTGGGACCACCCTGAGGGAGGCGTGTCGATATTCTCTGGGCGTCGGGGCAGCCTGTAGGAGTGGGGTTCGAGCTCTTTTAGAGTGTGGAGTTATGGGATGTTTCTGAAACTTTCCTGGGAAGTGAACTTAGAATGTTCACTGGAATGTGAGCGGCATCACAATGGGCACGGGGAGGTGGGCCTAGAACTTCCTTGTACAGGTTGGGGGGCGGGGAGGATGTAGCTAAAGCTCTCCTGAGATGGAGGCACGGTTAAAACTCTCAGCACAGGGGGTGGAGGCTGGACTGGGGAACTTCGTTTGGAGGGAAGCCGTGTTAGCTGGTTTCTTAAGCTGTGGAGTGAGGCAGAACTTTCCTAAGGCGGGTGTGACTCTAGTGTTTACAGGGAAATGGGTGGATCCAGATGTTCACAGGGGGCGGAGCTTAAAATTTTCCAGGTAAGGGGCGGGCTGGTATTTCAAGTGGAGCACTTGAGAGTGAGGGCCAGAATTCTTTTGGGGTGCAGGTGTGTGTGTGTGTGTGTGTGTGTGTGTGTGTGTATTATGATGGGAGAGATGAAGCAGGTTGGGGTGGGGCATTGGCCTTAGTTCTGTTGTTTCTTCTGCTCTCAGGAACCCCCAGTGCTGTATCCGCATTTTGTAGGGAAGGTTTGCTGGGACCCTGGCCCCACCCAGTCAGCAGAATGGTGAGATGGCAGATTCTGCATTGAGCTTTGCAGCAGGGGGCTTGGGAGGAGGGGGTCCGGGTGCCAGACTCAGAACTTGTTTTTTCTTACTGTCTGTCACCTGTCTCCCTGTCCAGTCAGCCACGCTGGATCTGAAATCGAAGGAGGAGAAGGATGCCGAATTGGACAAGAGGATCGAGGCTCTTCGACGGAAGAATGAGGCCCTCATCCGGCGCTACCAGGTGCCCTAGCCCTGCCCTGGGAGACCCCATCCCCTCTCCTCCCTGCAGTGAGTTTCCCTCACCTCTCCTTTTCTTAAAACCTTTTCATGGTTTCCCTTCACTCTCAGGATAAAAGCCAAAGGCCTTAGCCTGGCATTCCTTCCTCCATGCCATCATTCCATCGTTCATTCACAAATATTCACCGAGGTCTTTGCTGTACCTGGCCCTGTGCTGAGTGGTGCTGGGGGAACAGCTGTGACTGAGACAGCCCGGGACCTGCCCTTCCAGGGGTGACAGTCAGTGGGGGCACAGAGCTGTCTTCAGTCAGTGATGACCCAGAGTAGGCAGGCTGGGATCTTTGGGGGTCTTTGGGAGCCCAGCCTGGAGGATATTATGGAGGGCTTCCTGGAGGAGGGGATTCTGAGACCTGAAGTTGAAAAGTAGAGCAGAGCATGTTCCAAGCAGAGGAAACAGTTTGAGTAAAAACTTGGAGCTTAAAATTAGAGGGTCAGTGGGGAATATTGACCTGGAGAGGTCAGCAGGGGTCAGACTAAGAGTTTGGACTTCTTGAGGGCACTGGGGAGCCATGGAGGGATTTGAGAGGAGTGGGGCCAGGTCAGAATAGCTTTTTATGAAGACCCCCTCTGGCTGCTGTGTGTGGTGGTGGATGGGGGAAGGCAATGTCGGAGACCAGAGGCCAAGGAGGAAGCTGAGGCAGGGACCTAGGGGGTGGGGGGGGCGGGGAGGTGCTTGGCTTGGGACAGAGCAGTGGGGAGGGACTCAGTGCCTGATGGGCAGTGGTGTGAGGTGGAGAGGAGTGGGGAGAGTCCAGGACAAGGTCCGGGTCCCTGCCAAAGGTGACAGTAGGTGGTGGGGCTGTCCCAGAGACGGGGCCTGGAAGGAGGATGGGGTTTCATGTATTCATTCTTCATTCATTCATTAAAAAAAAAGCATATTGAGTTTCTGTTGTGTGCCAGGCAGTGTTCTAGGCTCCGGGATACATTAGCAAACAAAACAGATGTCCCTGCCCTCAGGCAGATTCTGTTACAGGGGGAGGCAGACAACAGGCGAAATATGCATGATGCCAGGGATGAAGACCAAGGATGAAGAGGGAGGGGTGGGAGACTGGCAGGGGCGCTGGTCAGGGAAGGCCTGCCTGTGAAGAGGAACATTTGAGCGGAGGCCTGAAGGAGTGAAGGACTGAAGGATCGAAGGATCTCTGGGGGAAGAGTGTTTTCGGCAGAGGAAACAGCAGGTGCAAAGGCCCTGAATCAGGTCTGAGCCTGCCACGTTCTAGGAGCAGTGAGGAGGCTGGAGTGAGTGACGGGGAGAGGGTGGGAGATGAGCCTGCCAGACATACAGAGTCCATCAGAGACAGACAGACAGACAGTGCCAGGAGAAGAAAGAGACAGGAGAGGGAAGGCAGGTGGACAAGCACACACTCGATGGCAAAAAAAAAAAAAGGAAAACAGGAAGAGACAGGGAGAGTACACACGCTCTGGTCAGGAGGGGGAGAGAGGGCCAGAGCAGCATGGAGCTCTTTCCTCCCCTGGAAACACTTCCCCCAGAGGCCCTCCGTCCCTCACCTCCTTCAGGCTCCGCTCAGATGGTTCCCTGACGCAGAGACGGCACCACAGGAGGGTCTGAGCCGCGAGCACTTGCTGCAGTTTGGGGGAGCTTGCCGAGGTCACCAGCTGTCTTGTCTGGAGCTCAGGAGAGAGGCCTGGGCTGCGGCCAGACTCAGGAGAAACGCTGGGGGCTTTGGGAGTTCAGCCAGGCACTCACCCCGACACTCACCTCTGATGTTTGCTCCTAGGAGATCGAGGAGGATCGGAAAAAAGCTGAACTGGAGGGCGTCGCCGTGACAGCTCCCCGGAAGGGCCGCTCCCTGGAGAAGGAGAATGTGGCAGTTGATGTGGTGAGCCCCACCCTGGGGTGGGGGGCACCAGAGGACAGGGAAGGGCGAGAGCTGAGACCTGAGAGCCCTCCCCACTGCCCAGATCTGTGGGTGCCTTCATCCTGGCGGCTGCCCTGGGCTGTCCTGTCTCCTTGCTCCAGTGACTGGAGTTTTCCTTCCCCCCTCCCCCCTTCCAGGAGAAGAACCAGGGTCCTTTCCGGAGGGCTCCTGGGACCCCTCGCCCCCCGGGGACCCCTCGGCCCCCGGGGACCAGCAGGGGAGGAGGCCGGACTCCCCCGCAGCAGGGAGGCCGGGCAGGCATGGGCCGGGCCTCCCGCACCTGGGAGGACAGTCCTGGGGAGCAGCCTCGAGGAGGAGCTGGTGGCCGCGGCCGGAGGGGCCGGGGCAGAGGGTCCCCTCATCTCTCTGGAGCTGGAGATACCTCTGCTGCCGACCGCAAGTCCAAGGTAGGAGCTGGGAAGGGGCCCCCGTTGTTTCTTTCTTTTCCTCTCGCAGATGCACCGTTTGCCTGTTGGTCCATCTTTCTGGCGTCTCTCTTTCAGCTCCTCTGTCCGGCTCTTTCTCTCTCCCCCCGTCTTGACCAGTGCCTGTGTGTTCGCTCCCTATCTCTGCTTTCCTTCTTCATTTTTTTAAAAATATATTTTATTGATTTTTTACAGAGAGGGAGAGGGATTGAGAGTTAGAAACATCGATGAGAGAGAGACATCGATCAGCTGCCCCCTGCACACCTCCCACTGGGGATGTGCCCGCAACCCAGGTACATGCCCTTGAGGTGTGTGCTCGCCATCTGACTTCCTTCACCTGTCTCTTTCTTCTCTGTCTTTTTAAAAAATATATTTTTATTGATTTCAGAAGGGAAGGGAGAGGGAGAAACATCAATGATGAGAGAGAACCATCGATCAGCTGCCTCCTGTACACTCCACACTGGGGATCGAGCCCACAACCTGGGTATGTGCCCTTGACTGGAATCAAACGTGGGACCCTTCAGTCTGCAGGTCGACGCTCTATCCACTGAGCCAAACCAACTAGGGCTCTTTCTTCTCTTACTGGCTCTGTCTGTCTGTCTGTCTGTCTCTGATAAACTCTGTGTGTCTGGCAGGCTCTGTCCAGTGCACGTGCTTCCTCTCTTTCTCTAGACTTGTTTGGGTGGAGCAGTGACATTCTTACTGTGACTGCTGCGCTGCCCTGACACTCAGGTTAGCGGGGCGGGAGGCTGTCTAGCACAGTGGCTCAGGGCCCGCCATGGACTTGGGGTCACCCTCGTTGTATTTGTTCCCTGTCCGGGGCAGCTCATTTCCCTCTAGAAGCTTCTGGGTTCTCGCTCTTAACTGGGAAGAACATCTAGTTTAAAGGTTATCGTAAGTATTCGTGACTTCAGGCACTGAAACCCTCAGAGTAAGTGCTCAATGACCTATGGGTGTTTATTATTTTATATGCTAAGCTGCTGTTAACAAAAACCCCACTTAGATCAGGTGGCAGTGTATTTCTCTCTATATGCTGAGCCCGGGGAATGAAAACGTCAACTCTAGCAGCTTGGCCATGTGCTTGTGTGAAATTCTGTTACCATGGAGGAAGGGGAGAACGGATTGTGGGGGGTCACCATGCCATCTGCCAAGTTATTACTGTCATTATTTTTATGGCGACCATGGTGTCTCAGGGTCCCCAACCCCTCCCCCAGGTTCAGTGTTTTGCTAGAAAGATTCCTCACTGAAATGTTTACAGTGAAAGAATTCAAAGCAAAATCAGCTAAAGGGAAAGGCACGTGGGCTGAGACCTGGAGGAAACCAGCTTGCCCAGTGGGTCATACAGGTTGCACTCAATTCCTCAAGCATTGCCCTGGCCCGAGTGGCATCCCGTGCACGGAAAGGTTGCTGGTTTGATTCCCGCGAAGTCACATCCTGGGTTTCAGGCTCAGCCCCGAGGAGGGAGTGTGCAGGAGGCAGGCGGTCAATCACATCGCTGTCTCTCAAATCAGTAAAATCATATTTTTAAAAATTCCTCAAGCATTGAGGGTCACCTACCACGGACTCTAATAGAAACCTAGTGCCCAGAGTTGTTGTTTTTTCATATATATATATATATCTGATTTCAGAGAGGAAGGGAGAGAGGTAGAGAGGTAGAAAAATCAATGATGAGAGAGAATCATTGATTGGCTGCCTCCTGCACGTCCCCTGGTGCGGTGCGGTGCGGTGGGGAGATCGAGCCTGCAACCCGGGCATGTGCCCTTGGCCGGAATCGAACCTGGCACCCTTCAGTCTGCAGGCCGACGCTCTATCCACTGAGCCAAACCGTCAGGGCGTCTTTTTTCCCCTTCATATCTACACTAATAAAAGAGCAACATGGTAATTTGTGTACGACTGCTACCCTTCCCATTGGCTAATCCCCTGTCATTCACAGAGTAGGGCCGAGATATGCAAATTAACTGGCAGCCAAGATGGCGGCGCGCAGCCAGGCAGCTGATGCGAACAGGGAGGCTTGCTTGCTTCAGTGACGGAGAACTCCAACGTTCCCCGCCTGACTTGCCGGCCTCTCAGCTGCAACTCTAAGCCACTATGTTGCGAATAAAGAAGCTAAAAAACCCCCAGAAACCTGCTTTACTCAGTGGAGCTTCAGCCAGCCTGACCGCAACATTGTATCAAATACAGACTGTAAACAAAGGCCAGAAACCTGTTTTCAGCAGCCGAGGCCTCAGAGCTAAAGCTGGCCCAGAATAAAAAAAAGAAAAAAAGGAGCGGTTGGGAGCTTCAGTCACCGGTCAGCCTGAAAAGAGCCCTCAGCCCCTCACCCAGACTGGCCAAGCACCCCAATGGGGACCCCCACCCTGAAGGGTGTGTGACCAGCTGCAAACAGCCATCATCCCCTCACCCAGGCTGGCCAGGCACCCCAGTGGGGAACCCCCCCCTGATCCAGGACCCCCTTCAGGGCAAACCAGCCAGCCCCACCCATGCACCAAGCCTCTAACCTATATAGTAAAAGGGTAATATGCCTCCCAGCACCGGGATCAACGTGACAGGGGGCAGCGCCCAGACCCCCTGATTGCCCTGCAGCTCTGTGTGTTACAGGGGGCGGCACCCCAACCCCCCCGCCCCCACGGGCCCTGCTCTGTGTGTGACGGGGGGCAGTGCCCCAACCCCCTGATTGGCCCTGCTCTGTGCATGACGGAGTGGCGCTGCAACCTCCCCATTGACCCTGCCTTGAGTGTGACAGGGGGCGGTTCCCCAACCCCCCAATTGGCCCTACCCTGCGCGTGACTGAGGGTGGCATCGCAACCTCCCAATCTGCCCTGCTCTGTGCATGACAGGGGGCGGCGCCCCAACTCCCCAATCGGCCCTGCTCTGAGCCCGACCAGGGACTGCACCTAGGGATTGGGCCTGCCCTCTGCCACCCGGGAGCAGGCCTAAGCCAGCAGGTTGTTATCTCCCGAGGGGTCCCAGACTGCAAGAGGGCACAGGCCGGGCTGAGGGACCCCCCCCTTCCTCCGAGTGCACAAATTTTTGTGCACCGGGCCTCTAGTATATATATATTACTGAAACATCAATGATGAGAGAGAATCATTGATTGGCTTCCTCCTGTACCTCCCCTACTGGGGGGATTGAGCCCGCAACCCGGGTATGTGCCCTTGGCCGGAATCGAACCTGGGACCTTTTAGTCCACAGGCCGATGCTCTATCCACTGAGCCAAACCAGCTAGGGCCAGGGTTTTTATTGGGGGCTAGCCATGTAGGTCCCCTCTGCTTGGTCTGTATCCAGATTCCTGACCCCAATATGGCGCCCAGCTTACACCATATTGATGGCACAAAAGGCACAGCGAGTCCTCATCAGTGAATGTTGACCCGGAACACACTGGAGTCGAATTCCCCAGCCAAGGGCTGGCTTTAAAGCAGGCCTGTCCTGAGGAGACCTCAGGCCCGTCATGTTAGCTCTTCAGGACAAGGAGTTGAGCGGTTGGTTCTTCCTGACACCGGGTGACTCTGTAACCTGCTCCCCTCCCTCTCCAGGAGTGGGAGGAGCGGCGCAAGCAGAACATCGAGAAGATGAACGAAGAGATGGAGAAGATTGCGGAGTATGAGCGCAACCAGCGGGTCAGTGCCAGGGTGTCCCCGGTGTGAGGCACGGCCGCCAGGCCTGGGTGGACCTGCCAACCCCATCCCTGTGCCCGCAGGAAGGCGTGCTGGAGCCCAACCCGGTGCGGAACTTCCTGGACGACCCCCGGCGGCGCGGCGGGCCCCTGGAGGAGCCAGAGCGGGACCGCCGGGAGGGCAGCCGCAGGCACGGGCGCAACTGGGGGGGCTCGGACTTTGAGCGCGTGCGCTGCGGCCTGGAGCAGGAGCGGCAGGTGGGTGCTGGCAGCGGGGGCACGCCGGGCCAGACACCGTTCTGCGGCCAGAGTCTCACCTCGGCAAATGGTCCTGGACGTGTGCTGAGCGCCCGGCACAGCGGGGAGGAGGCAGAGCAGGGAGAGGCAGCGACTGGCTGGCTCTCACCCCAAGTGACCGGCTGGTTCTGTGCCGGGACCGCACTGCTCTCTTTCTCATTCCTGAGTGCCGGGCACTGTCCTAGGTGCTGCAGCCAAGGGTTTTAAACAAGGCAAAGCCCCTGCCCTAAAGGCGTCTATTCTGGTGGGAGCTGAGTGAATGGATATACAGGGTGTCTCACAAAACCACACACACTTTGAATGATGATAAAGTTAGTGTTTGTTCACACACAGTTCACTTTCAAAATTTAAAAGAATCTACAGAAATGAATAATATTTTTTGTCAATGCCTGTTTTCCAACTGGTGACCATCCTGGTCCAGGCACTGCTGATAACTCGAAGCAGCTGAATCACAAATATAAAGAATAATTTTGTTGGGTACTTGTGCGCTCTCAGTTCGTCAACTGTTGCTGGTGTACTGTAAACTTTATCTTTGATGTATCCTCGTAAAAAAGTCTAGTGGATACATTGTCTTTGTTCAAAGCTTAGTCTGGCTTCACCCATTATTTCAAATCCGTTAAAGGAGTGAAAATCAGGTGAGTTATCAGCTGCTAAAGCGTGTGCACACACTTTGAATAATTATAAAGGCGGCGTTTGTACTGCAACTGCGTTTTCAAACTTCCAGTAGCATTTTTTGGATGAATTTCCTTTGCTCAAAGCTTAGTCTGGCCGAAAGGAAAGAAACCTCCATCGAGCTACCAGCTGTTAAAGTGTGCGGACATGCTTTTGGGACACCCTGTGTAATGAGATGTCGGGGAACGCAAATGTCACAAGGAAGAATCCAGCAGGGCGAGGGGATGGATCTGGGATGGTCTCTGAGGAGGTGCCACCGGAGCAGACCTGGTTCTAATCTGCCCTGTCGCCTCCTGTGTGACTGAGCAGGTGGCTCTACCTCTGAGCTTGGAGGACGTGGGGTAGAGTGGGCTGGGTGCAGAACAGGGCCCTGACTGCTGTCTGCTGTGCGCAGGGCCGCCGGGCTGGCCTGGGCGGTGCCAGTGACATGACACTCTCCATGACGGGCCGGGAGCGGGCAGAGTACCTGCGCTGGAAGCAGGAGAGGGAGAAGATCGACCAGGAGCGGCTGCAGAGACACCGCGAGCCCACGGGCCAGTGGCGGCGGGAGTGGGACGCTGAGAAGACCGAGGGGATGTGAGTGCGTCCCTGCTGCCCCTGCTTGGCTCCGTGACCGGGGCCTGACGGGTGTGCTCCGTGGTTGAGCGTTGGCACTCCTTTGACTGGCTCTGGTTTCTCGCCCTGTGTTAGTTAGTAATCGCCATGGCAGTGTGTGTAACCACCAGCTCGCAGGGGCAGGTAAAAGCGCTCCTTTCTCATGTGCTCACGGGTCAGCTGCGTTCAGTGATCCAGGCTGACATTCAGCTGTGGGTTCGGCAGGCCGTGGCTTCTGGAAGCAGGTTGAACTCAGTTCCGCTTCATATGTGTTCATTCTGGGGGTCAGGCTGAGGGGAGCAGATGTGCAAGAGGGAGCGTGGATAAACCTCCCCGTTTTATTAGCCAACAGACCCAGCATCTCCGGGGCGGGAACTTAAACTGCCCACCCCAGTGGCGGGTACGGCTCCATGGTGAAGGCGTGGATGTGACTTCTCGCGCAGGGAGGGCAGGAAGAACTGCTAGCAGTGATTAGACCTTTGCACCCTCCCTTCATCCCTCTAATTCAATCCCCAACCCAAACCCCTCACCCAGTGGCATCATCATCCTCAGGTCTGACTTTGCCCCCTTCCGGGTCCAGGAAGAACCCCGTTAGTCAGACTTAAAGCGAAGGCATCTTTGCATCATTGACAGGAGGACCGATTCCATATCAAAGATGGCGAGGTTTCTGAAAGAGCTGACAGGTCTTAAGATCAGCAGGTGTTTTTACCCCGTCCTCTGTCCTTTGCTGCGTTGGGAGATTTCACACCTAGAAGTTTTTTTGTTTCGTTTTGTTTTCAATCCTCACCTGAGTATATATTTTAAAATTGATTTTAGAGAGAAAGGAAGGAAGGAAGAGAGAAACATGGATGGGTTGCCTTGACTGGGGATCCAAACCGCACCTTTTTTAAAAAAAAAAATGTTTTTAGCCTTAGGCGAGCCGGTTTGGCTCAGTGGATAGAGCGTCGGCCTGCGGACTGAAGGGTCCCAGGTTTGATTCCGGTCAAGGGCACATGCCCGGGTTGTGGGCTCGATCCCCAGTAGGGGGCATGCAGGAGGCAGCTGATCAGTGATGCTTTCTTATCATTGATGTTTCTATCTCTCTTCCTCTCCCTTCCTCTCTGAAATATATAAAAAATATTTTAAAAAATGTTTTTACAAATATGTTTTTATTGATTTTTAGGAGATAGGAGGGGAGAGAGATAGAAACATTGATGAGAGAGAAACATCATTGATCGGCTGCTTCCTGCACGCCCCCTACTGGGGATCAAGCCAGCAACCTGGCTGGGAATTGAACTGGTGACTTCTTGGTTAATGGGCCAATGCTCAACCACCTGGCCACACCAGCCAGGCCACGCCTAAAAGTTTTATTGATGCTGGCTTGAGAAAAAAGGGTCCGTTTCTGTGGGCCTGGTGGTCAGAGCATTTATTTTTGGATCGGGTGCTAAGGTTGTGCAAGCGCGAGAAATAGTATTTTGTACAGATGTTGTCTCCGATCTTTCTAAAGTGTAGGCAGCAGGGCTTTGGGGAGATGTTCTCAGGGGTTAAGAATGAGAAAGTAATTTTTTTCCTCTTATGTCCCCAAAGCAGCCTGCACCAACTTTCATCAACCATGTGTGAGTTGACTTTGTCAGCAGATGTTTTTTGAGCCCCTCCTCTGTGTCATGGAAGGTTCTAGGTGATGGGGATACAACAGGGAATAAAACGCTTCTGGCTTCCTGATACTTAGAGTCCTGCAAGAAATATGGGTCATGACTAGATCTAATGTTAGGTCGAGAAGAATAATTGAGCAGAGTGCACAGAGGGATGGAGGCTGTTTTAGATTAGATAATGTGTAATAAGATATTATTTTATTATTTTTTAAAAATATATTTTATTGATTTTTTACAGAGAGGAAGGGAGAGGGATAGAGAGGTAGAAACATCGATGAGAGAGAAACATCAATCAGCTGCCTCTTGCACACTCCCTACTGGGGATGTGCCCGCAACCAAGGTACATGCCCTTGACCGGAATCTAACCTGGGACCCTTCAGTAAACCGGTTAGGGCAGATATGATTATTTTAGATGGGGGTTTAGGGAGGCCTCTGAGCTGAGGACTGAAGGAGGTGAGGGAACAGGCCCCTGAAAGATCTGGAGGAGCCCTGGCTGGGTAGTTGAGTTGGTTAGAGCGTCATCCTAGATTGTGGGTTCAATCTCAGGTCAGGGCCGGTCAGGGCACATGCCCAGGGTGTGGGCTCAGTCCCCAGTGGGGATGGGCGGGAAGCAGCCAATCAGTGATTTTTTTCTCATCATTGATGTTTCTATCTCCCTCTCCCTTCCTCTGTGAAATCAATAAAGAAAATTTAAAAAACAAAACAACAACAAAGAAGAGTCGACCAATGAGCCTGGCTGACGTGGTTCACTTGGTTTGGGTTGCACTGAGCCCGGGTTGCGGGCTCAAAACAAAAAAAAGGATCAACCCATGAATAGGTAGGACAGCAGATCAATATTTCTCTCTCTCCAAAAAAGAAAAAAAAAAGAGCTGGAGAGAGTGTCCTGGAGCAGCAGGTGAAGTCCTGAGGCAGGAGCTCCACGTGGCGGGAGAACCTGCTTCGCTGGGCAGGTGACGGACACTGAGACCAGCAGGAACCTACGTCCCAAATTTTTGTTCTGAGGGGTCACATACTGAATTTTTTCTTTCTGTATTCATCATATGATGTCAGATTTGCCTCTTGTCCATCACCTGATCCTGTCCCCCTGCTGATCAGTAACGCCTCTGGTTGACCATGTCTCCTGCTATGACCTTGATTTCTGACCCTGGCCCCCATCTCCCTCTTTGTTTTTGTTTTGTTAATCTTCACCTGGAGGACATTTTCTCCACTGATATTTAGAGAGTGGAAGGGAGGGAGTAGGGGCAGACACACACACACACATCCCTTGGTTGCCTCCTGCATGTGCCCCGACCAGTGCCTGGGATTGAACCTTGATACTTGCCCTTGACCAGGAATCGAGCCCATGACCCTTTGGTGCGCAGCCTGACACTAACCACTGAGCATACCGGCCACGGCCCATCTCTCCCTCTTACCTCTTCCCCCCTCTCTTGCTTCCACTGTTCCCCCAGCTTCCTGCTCACCCCTTTTCTCTTTCCCCAGGTTCAAGGATGGTCCAGCCGCTGCCCTTGAACCATCTCACCGCTATGGTGAGTGGGTGTCCCTGGGTGGGGTGAGGCAGCTGGCTGGGCCAGGTGTGAGGGTGGGTGGTTTGTGCTGTGTCCCCCACCCCCGACGACTCCTGGGTTCTGTTGCAGATGACCAGGCCTGGGCCCGGCCCCCCAAGCCCCCCACTTTCAGGGAGTTCCTGTCCCAGCACAAAGCCGAGGTCAGCCGCAGGAAGAGGAGGAGCAGCCGACCCCAGGCCAAGGCAGTCGCCCGTGCCTACAGGTGGGCACCCTTCCCTGGGCATGTGTACACCCAGTGGGGCTGGCTGGCCCTATACCCTGTTCTCTGACTTATTTGTGGTTGGTGTGTCTCGGGGCAGTTGTCTCTCTGTGGGTCAGGCCCTTCGTTTTGGGGGGGTTGGGGCCTGTCTCTCCACTTTTCGCTCCTCCGTCTCCTCCTCCTCCGCCCATCCCTCTCCTGCCACCTGGTCCTCCCTCCATTGTCTGTCCCTGACACCTGAGGACACACCCCCATTTCCTCCTCAGCCTCCAACATGCCAAGCCGCCTCTGGAAATCCTGCAACCCCTTTCTCCCCCAAGTTGAATTTTGAACCCCTTCTCTGGGGAGGAGCGGGAGGTGGAAGCCCCTTCCTCCCATGCCCCGCAGCCTCACGACCCTTCTCTCTGACCTCCCCAGTGACCACGATGACCGCTGGGAGACCAAGGAAGCAGAGTCCCCAGCCCCCGAGGCCCCACAGCCCACTCCCCCCGAGGAGACGCCCACACAGGTAAGGCGGACTCATTTCTGGGCAGGAGGTGTGGGGGTGCTCAGGGCCCCCACCCTCCCTTTGACTTGCCTTGTGTTCCCCACAGCTGCCTGAGACCCCAGCGCCTGCCCACCGGCCTCCTGAGGACCAAGGGGAGGAGGACCAGGGGGAGGAGGACCAGGGGGAGGAAGACGAGGAGGAGGAGGACGAAGGGGAGGATGAGGAATGGGAAGATGTGAGTGAGGGCGAGGAGGAGATTGAAGAGGAAGAAGAGGCTGATGACGAGGAGGAAGAGGAGGAGGAGGAAGAACCAGCCCAAGACCACCAACCCCAAGAATCTGAGCCCCCTGGGAGCGCCAGCAGTGAGCAGGCCAACAAAGAGCCCTCCAGCCCCGAGGAGCCGCGCCCCCAGTCCCCGGCCACACCGTCCAGCCCCTTCTCACCCCCTGGGGGCCACCAGCCCGTGTCTGACTGGGGTGAAGAGATGGAGCTGAATTCTCCCCGGACCGCCCACCCGGCTGATGCTCTCTCTCCGGGTGAGGCCTGGCCTTTTGGAAATGCATGAAGCTGGCTGCTTGTGTGTGTGTTCAAAGGGTGCATGGGCGGGGGGGCCCTCACGGGCTGGGCCCTGGGATCCCGTGTGCCCCACGGCCCTGGCGGCTAGGGAGGACAGTCCATGCCCACGTGTGTGCTGTCCTTACTGATCTCTGAAATGCCCGTCCCCAGATACTGCCCCTGCTCTGGGTCCTGCCAGAGCGCCCTCTCTAATAAAGAGTTCACGATCAATGACATTCCCATTCAAATGACATTCCCCAGGTGTGTCCTTGAACCCCCTTTCCCTTGGGCCCTTCTGTCTTGGGGGGCTATTTGGATGGGGAGGGGCTTGACCGGGCCTCCTCCTTCTCCAGGAGGTGACCAGCCAGCCCCTGCCTCCTTGGAGAGCGGGCCCAGCCTCCCAGGAACCCAGAAAGCTGAAGAGGAGGGGTCCGAGGCGGCTCCAGGTGGGGGAGCGGTGGGCCCCGGAGGTGGCTGCTTCCTTACTCTTCCTCTGGGGCCGAGGGGAGGAGGGCTTGGTGGGGGGTAGGATGGAGTGGAGCTGGGCCCCATCAGTGTGTGGGGTGGCAGCTGGACCTGGGGTGAAGTGAGAAGGTCAGGGTGTGGAGCTAAGGGAAGGATTCCTGGGGCCCAGTTACTAGGATCCCAGTGTAGGGGCCTGGGGATGAGCAGGAGGAGCCCTGATGGGATTGGGAATTAGAGGTGGACCTTAGGGGTTTGGAAAACAAAGGGGTGGGGCTAAGGGCAGGATTAGAAATTTAAATAGATTTAAAAAAAGAGTGGGAAGGGCGGTCTAATGGTTTAGCTGTGAGCCGGATTAGATTTTTGATGTGTAACTGAGTGGGGTAAATTAGAATAGAAATGCGGACCCTTTTAGAATGTTGGGTCCAATGGAGTAGGAGGGAGACTGAACCCCATTTCTCCACCTCCACTGTGTGGAAGCCAGGTTGTGAAGCAGGCACCTCCCCCCAGGAGTGGGATTAGGATTTGGGGGCAGAGCCGGGGAAGGTCTGGTTAGCACTCGGGAGGCGGGCAAGGGCAAGGGCGAGGGCGAGCAGGTGCAGGAGGGCGGTCCCTTACTGAGGTAGGTCTAAGCCATGAGGTGGATGGGCTGGGGTCTGAGAGGACAGTTCAGGGCAGTGGGTGAGGCCAGGTGTCCTAGCGCTTTGTCTTTGAGACACGTGTTGGCCAAGTGACCGTGATGTCGTTATTCCAGTTTATTCTCTCGATTGTCAAGAGAGTTCTGCTGCTTCGTGGGTCCACGGCGAGGATTAGAGTCTGAGGCCCCTAAACCACTGAGAATGGGGGTGTCTGTAGCCCAGCTCAGTGGAGATGAGGGGCAGGGCCGGGCGGGTTGTCTTGGGACTGTGCCCCTCCGCTGACCGCCCCTTCTCTCCCCAGAGGGAGGCCCCGAGGGCCAGGAGACGGCGGAGATCACCGACTTCCAGATGGTGCGTTTCTGCAAGGTGGTGGCGGCCGCCCCACCCCCGGGGGCCGCCCGCTGACCGCGCCGCCCGCCGACTCTGCACTAACTTCCCGCAGCCTCGCTCCTCTGTCTTTTGCTTCTGCCGCACTCCAGCCAGGAGAGGGTTAAATGTGGGGGGAGGAGCCTGAGACCGAGGCCGGCGTGGGGCCGGGGCATCAGTCCGGTTTCACAAGTGGGGGACTCCGCCGGGGACCTGGATGGCCGAGAGGTCTCCGAGGGACCCAGCTGTGGAGGTCTCGGCGGGTGGGTGCTAGTCTCCGGGACGCGGTTCCCGCCGCCAGGAGCGGACACCTAAGGCCTGGCCGCCAGCCGGTGACTCTTCCGAAGGACTGAACTGCTCGGCCGCCACTTGTCTATTAAACGCCGCGCTTTCGCTAACCTTTGCACCGTGTTCCTGGCGGGGGCCACTGGCTTGCTGTGCTCGGCAGGCTTTTCTGTGGCGGGAGGAAGGGGTCTTGCTTTCTCCCCGCCCTGACACCTCTTCCCTCCCCCGCCCACAGGCCTCCCCGAATTCCTGAAGACGCGGCTGGGTGGGCCGAAGCTTCCCTGCCTTGATGGGTGGGGCGGCCGGAGGGGTTAGTCTGGCCGACCTGGCTGTGCGCCCCCCTGGAGCCACTGTGGACCCCTGGCTTAGGGAGAGGGAGAGATGGAAGGTGGTGGGGGAGGAGCTGGGGAAGGGGCGTGAGTGGGGGGTGGGGTTGAGCTGCAACCTGGGACACACGTGGAGGAGATTGGTCTGTGTGGGGCCTGGTTCGGGTTTCCGGGAGGCCAGAATCCCGGTGGGCGGGGTGAGAACGGGAACGCGTTAGGATGCGAGGGGGCCCAGAGCCGGTTTAGATGGGAGTTCCTAACTGGTGGGGGAGCGCAGCCACCTCGGGGAAGCAGTGGTTAGAATTCGGTGCTGGAGCGAGTGGAGTGCGGAGAGAAAAGCGATGGAGCCTGGACTAGAGAGGAAGCCAGGGCCAGAGGAGGACAGAATCGAATGCTGGAGTGTAGTCTGATTCCGAGGAAATTAAGCTGGAACTGGGGCTTGCGACGCCTGAGCCAGGCAAGGGGGCGAGGCTTGGGGAGAGGCTAGACGCCAGGAAGAAGTCTGAGCCCCTTAAAGGGGAGAGGGTTAGGGCGCGGGAGGAGCTAAGCGCTGGGGCGGCCTCGCGCGTGGGTAGCCCTGGCTGGTGGGCGTCCTCCCGTGCACCCTTCCGCGTCAGGGCACCTGCCCGGGTTGGGCTCTGTCCCCCAGCAGGGGGCGTGCAGGAGGCAGCCGATCGTGTTTCATTCTCACATGTTTCTCCCTCTCTAAAAGTCAATAAAGATAAATAAGTAAAGTAGGGGAGTTTTTCTAAAAAAATAAGAGCGGCTATAACCCCGAAGCCTGACGAGTCGCCTGGGCTAGACCTGTATTTGGGGGGAAAAATGTGTTACAATTCTGGGGCGGGGCCAGGGGCCAGTGGGCGGGGCTAGGACGCCGTCGTTCAGCCTTAGCTTGATCATGGTTGGCCGGAGGCTGAGGGGGGCGGGTCTAAAAGGCGGAGGAGGCCGTTCTGCGAGGGGGCGTGACCATGCTGGCGGGGGCGCGGATGGACCTGGGAGCTTTA